GCTGGGACCCCGAGCTCTGCCCGCTGGCTTCCCCCTGCACACGGACATCCTCGGGTAGGGCTCAGAGGGAGGGGAGGGTGGGTTGGGGTCCTCATTCCTTCCTCCCTGGTCATGACACGCCCTTCCCCACAGGCTGCTGCTCCTCCATTTGGAACTGAAGCGCTGCCTCTTCACCGTGGAGCCTTCAGGGGATAAAGGTGACTGAGGGGGGGCGAGGGCGGCAGCCGGGAGGGCCCTGGGCCCTGAGAGGGACGTGACCCGTTCTTCTCCTTTCAGATCCTTCCCCTGAGCAGCGTCGGTGCCTCCTCCGTTCCTTCTACACCCTCGTCACCGCCATGCACTTCCCACCAGGTCAGCGGTGGGCCCAGCGCCCCCTTTGCACAGACGGGGACACTGAGTCCCAGTCACACAGGAGGGAGTGGGGGGCTGGGAGGACTGGTAGGACTCAGCCGGTACTGGGCATGGTTAAGGCCTGGGCATCCACGGGTGGAAAGGAGGGGCAGGGAGGTTCCAGCCTGGAGGTGACGCTCTCCTGGGTAATCTTAATAGTTAATCTGTTGCCAGATGCTTTATATGCAGTGACTCCCGTCATCCTCAGAGGTGAGGGTTACCTGCTGCTGTATAATCACTCCCATATTACAGATGAGGAAACTGAGGCCGGCTGCTTAGTAGTCATACTCTGCTCTACTGCTTTAAGTACAGGCTTTCCCCATAGTCGGGGGAGGGGGTACCACAGAGTCCAGCCTAGTTAGGAAAAGTCCTAGAACCCAAGAGCCCTAGAGAGACAAAGGAAGGGGCCTAGGGTGACGCTACCCACCAGTGAAGAGCCTGATGAATGTAGTAAAGTGGTAAACAGCAGCACCTGGGAGAGGCCGAGGACTGCTCCCTCCTACTGTTGACTCCACCTCCCCACCAGCTCCCCACAGCGGGGTGGGGTCCCTGGGGGTCCCCCGCCCCTCCTACCTGGAGCTGAGTGCCTGACACTTGGTAAATATCACCTGCGTGTTTGCCATGTGTTTCTGAGTGAATTGTTGGGGCTGCACATAGTATCCCCAGGAACGAGGGGGACCGAGGCTGGGTGGGAAGAGGGGCAGCTGAGAGCCCGTAGCCTACAGGTCACTGACAACAGGATGGAGCTGTGAGGCCCTTGCCCGTCAGGAGTCAGACTCGGGCCCAGGATGGGGTATGGCTCCCGCAGGTTGGCATCCCCGTGGTCCAACCCCACTGCTCACTCAGCCCTTCCTGTCCTTTCTCCAGAGCCCGGACAGCAGGAGGAGAAGGTGGAGGACACAGCCCAGCGGGCTCAAGTGCCGAGAGCCTGCTACCTGGTCTCAGGGACCGAGGAGCCAGGCACAGGATGGCGTCTGGTGGCCCTACAGTTGGGGCCCCGGCGGCTGCTGCTGCTGCTGTCAGCTCAGAGTCCCTGCCATGGGCTGCGGAGCCTGGCCACCCGCACCCTGCAGGCCCTCACCCCGCTCTTCTGACCACTGGGCGTGAGCAACAGACAGGCACCCGGGCTGTTAGCGTCTCTCTGTTTATTGGGTCACAATAATACACAGCCCCTGGACGGGGAGGGGGCAGGAGGGGCCACAACAGGGTGGGTGGGAGGGGAGGAGGCGCCTGCTTCCCTGGCCCCTCTCCCCTCTGTGCTTGGGGGGGGGGAAGGGAGGGAGGGGGCTCCCCCAACCCCCCAGAATGTAAACAGCAGCAGATGAACAAAAATAAAAATACAAAAGGCCGGAGGAAAGTCCCAGGCACCCCCCTACCCTGGGGTCTTCCCTGTCACCAGCAGAGGTCCCCTCACTGCTCCGATCCACCAAAGCTCCCTCAGTCCTGGGGGCTTCCTGGCACCGGCCACACTTCCGGGGGCAGGGTCCGGGGCTCAGAACTGCTGGGCCAGCAGCTCACACAGGTGACGGGAGACAGGCTCCTTGCTGGTGCGCAGGGTCAGCCGGTACATCTGGGGGGACCAAGGAGGGGACTCAGGGAGGAGGCAGAGGGATAGGGCAGGCAGGTGAGAGGATGGGGAGCCCAGGGGTGGGGGGATACAGGGGAGAGAGAAGAGAGAAAAAGGAGAAAGGGGTCAGGAAGGTGACAGAAGGGACAGGAAGTGGGAATAAAAATGATGGGAACAGGCAAAGAATGAAAAATAAAAAGGCCAGGAAAGGTGGAAAGGATATAGAGACACAAACCAGGGAGGGAGGGAAGGGGAGAGGAAGATGAGCCAGAGGATTGGGGGGCGGGGTCTGTTGCAGGTGGGCCTCCCAGACCACTCACCTGAGCCTGGGCGTTGGGCTCCAGCCGGAGCAGACAGCCCACCTGCAGGGCTTTCGTCTGGATGATCCCGGCCCCCACGAAGTTCTCGGGGTTGGGGTCCACGTTGTCCAGGAGAGCGGAGCCAAACCCCAGGAGCTGGGGAGGGAGGGTGGCAGCCGTCAGAGGCGCCAGATCTGTCAGCTCCCAGAGGGCGCACCAGTTCCCCAAACCAGCGGGAGTGGGCGCTGGCCGCATGTTACAGACGGGGAAACTGAGGCTCGGAAGTGACCAGCCACCGGTCCCCAAACCCCGGAGTTGGGGAGCGGCGGCTGGGACGTCGGCCTGGGGGCTCCCTCCCGGGTCTCCCTGTCCCTCACCTTGGCCTTCGTGACTTCAGCGTCCATGGGGTGGGTGGCTTTGAAGATCTTCTGTGCCTCCTGTTGGGGGCTGGGCCGGAAAGGTTCCAGTCAGGGCCTGGCAGCCCGCCCGCCCGCCCGGTACCGGGGCTGGGCCCGGCTACTCACAGGCTCAGCTGCTTCCAGCGCTGGAAGAAGTCCTGGGCCGCCATCTCTGTTGGCTGGAAGAACTTGTTGATGGTCACGGGGAGCTTCAGGGTGAGGGACTGAGGGGCTCCCCCATACCTGGCGTGGGAGAGAGGGCGCTGTCAGACCCCGCCCCTCGCACA